TTTAATATTAACCTGATACCACTTCCAGTGAAGACAATTGGATTAATTTTACTTGTTTCAATAATTTTCAGTAATAGAATTTTCCAAGGGCTGATTATTTGTTGCACATAAATGTATTTTTCTGAAGTGGTTCAACTAATCCAGTACAGGATTTTGCCCACTGGATTCAATTACTCATGTGTGAATAAAACTTTTCCAAAAATGTTGTTAGCTTGAAGAGCTCCAGAAGTGTTTCTTGAGCTGATTAAAGGTTTTGTCTGTACTACAAACCTCACGCTCCTTAAAAGAATTAAGGAGCTAAATGCATTTTCAAGCTTTGCTGGAACTATTGGAAGGAGTCATGGAACAAAAGAAATATGTGACACTTTTTGTTAGTTCTTACTCTGCATTAATATTATGGATTATAACAATTTTTATATAACAAATTTCTTTTATTTAAATACATGAATAAGCTACCTGGTCAAGGAACCAGAAACCAGACTACAGCACCACAGCCACCTCGACTGTTATTAGTTCAAATCACAGGCAAAAATTAATCAGCATAAGTACCTAATTTTAGGCACGTTTGAGTGAATCCTTTTCCAGCTAAACATTTTAACATAGATATACATATTTTGCTGAATAAAAATAGACTTCAACATTTCATTATCTTAAAAATATACTTAAGTAGATTGCACAGCTATGGCCCAAATTGGTTGCTTGGCTTGTTTGATGGTTACGAGACTAAATTCTTAGTAGGTGACAGCCTGGGAAGTCTGGGAAAATACTTTATCAATTGCATCCATTTCTGAATGCATGACAGTGAAGTGGAAGATCGAAGTTGTACAGCTGATCACATAGTTCTCCTATATGAAATAAAAAGTTCAAAATGTGATTTAAAATTTTCTCTTAATAATTTTTCTCTTCTAGTACCCTCCCCTAAATCACATTTTGAAGGCAGAATGAACCACAAAGAACAAGAGACCATCTCTCCAGAAGTCTTCCATCAAGTTGGTAAACCTGAAAGACTTGTTTATACACTTTTTGCACCATTTGATCAGTTTAGAAAAGTTTACCAGAAAGAAACTACATCAGTAGAAAGATTATTTCACTGATAAATTCTTACACAGCTTACCGTAGCTAAGAAAGTGGTAAAAAATCTGGCTGTTGATAACCCAGAATTTTCAATGGGTTATGCTATTAGACAACGTGTGCCGTACATTGATAACAATACAGAAAATGCATCCCTGATGCAAAATCTAGACATGTTCAAAGAAAAGATCAAAATACTTCATTATGAATGAAAAAACATTTAATATTCATAAAATCCTGTTTTCAGGGAGTCTGAACAGTATTTTTCATTTGCCTGTGGGGTTTAAATTCAGACTGTAGTAGATAGCTGGCATAGATTATTTCAGCCAAAATTATTAGAGTTTTGGAAAACTAGCAAACTAACTGAAACATAGGTTTTTTTGAAAAGTAATGATGTGGTGTCAGTCTTGCCCATAATTTCAAAGCTGAGAGTCTGGCAAGTATTACAACTTTGACAGCGAAAGCACAAGGATATATGCAAATTTAAAGGTTATTCCCCAAGTAATATATGCAGCATATGAAAATCTCTCCCTGATACAGAAAATTTACTTTTAAAGGAAATACTAGTATCGCTTCTGGTCAGTGCTGGCAAATCAAGAAAATGGCAACTAAACTTGGTAAGCCTCATATGAGATTGATTTCTAGTGTCTAGCTTATAAATGTTGAGAAGAATTCTCCACAAAGATTGTAAAACCAAAAGCTGACACCTTTGGACATGTAAGTTCTGATGGTGTTTTCTAAGGAGCTGTTAAAAATTAAATTACTATTTCAGCTTTAGACTCAGGCTCCCAAGGGAAGAATGATGCTAACAGACTTTTTTCTTTAATCCCCCCACAAAGGGACAGAACAGCAATAAAATCCATTTATATCTACCACAGTAACCTTCCATAAATATTCTCTAGTATGCTGAGCTGCTATAGGTGAAATGCTCTGTACTGCTATGTCACAGAAGCATTTCTACATCTTTGGGCCCCTAGCAAGCAAGAGGTAGGAAGGCTCTGGGACTACAGCTCAGGGTGAGATACTGTAGAGACCTGCTGCATCTCCAGTGCAACTGCCGCACCAGCGAAGGGGGTGCTCCTACATGAATCATGCAGTGTACTGGCCTGAATGTAGGCAAAGGTTCAGCGCAGAGGAAGCAATAAACACGCATGTAGAAAATACAGGGGAAGGCATGTGAAAACATACAACCATGCACAATTACAATCTTAAGCTTTGCATTGCATTTTAGATATTATTAGATGCGAAACTGGATGCACTCATAATTTACACGGGAACTGTGCTGCTGAATAACAAGACATTGTTAGCTACAAGGTGACTTAGTCATACTGGATATTTTGTTTGAGTGAGAAGACAACTGCTGTGCTTGATAGGCCAAAGTACCATATGTTTCCAGAATAGCAGAAACCTACTTCATTCTGGGATTTGCTGTTAAGGTCTAGTAATACTGGCCAAAATGGTTTGCTGATTCAATAACCACAGTTCTGTTACTCTAAAGTCAGATGAGCTTTTAAACGCACCATATGTGACTAATCAACAGCCCGGTCTGCCTTTTCACAGTCCTTTCCCCTCAGGTAAACCAGGGTGTAACGGGAAATGCAGTGGCATCTGCAGGGAGTTCCCTGCCTCCCGCTGCAAAACTGCAGATGCCCTACGCAGCTACTGCAGACAGCGCAAGTACAAGGGCATGAGTCTGGACCAGCCTGGCACTATCTGCTCCGCTATTGCCCCTTACTCATTTAGGCGGCTTCGAGGGAAGAGAAGAGGGACCTAATCCCTCATTTGCAGCTATACTGGGACTCTGACAATGAGAACCTGTGGGAGATGTTTTTCCCCTCGTGAGGGCTCAGCTTACTGTGGGTTTTAAGATAAGGTCCCATGTGCGTGCATTTTCCTTGAGAAAAGCACTCAGAATAAAATGAGAGAGTTCTGTGCTTATTTTGCTTCTTATGTGAAAAGTTCAAGACAGTTTATTATTTTAGGACAGCATATCAGACCTCTTTGGCAGTTGCCCCGATTTATTAACCTGTAACTCTGGGGTAAGGGAATTGGATACTCCTATCTGATGCCAACAGGAACCAAGCATCTCATTTCCTTAGGCTCTTCTGGAACCCCAGCTTACATTTCTCAACTAATTGAAAGCAGATTCTCTAACTGCAATCCAGAGAAATTTCTTTTTGCTCTGTACGAAAATTCTTCTGAGCTTCATCTTATCACTACATGTAAAAATATAGTGTTATATGACAATAAGATGAAAAAAATGTCCAAATGCATGCAGAAAAGAGGGTGATAAAATTAACAGCGAGGAATCGCATTTGAAACACTGGCCCACAAGGAAGTGGCATCACAGTTTAACCTAGGTTTGTTACAAGAGTTAAGATTTACTTCAGTATGAGAAGGCCAATCCTGTAACGAACTGTAGCATCTGTGATGAAGATCATAAACATAACCATTACATACAATAATATAGTAGTCTATGTGGTAGATATGCTTCTTTCCTCCACATTTATTATTTTCACTGGTAGTCAAAACCCCAATTAGAAGAGGCTTCAAAGCTAAACTATTTATATGCTAAGTAATTCTGTGAAGAGCTATTTGTTATGACATACAAACAGTTTAGCACAATGTATAAACATTTAATTTCTAAACTGTCCAAAAGCCCAAACTATTTTTCTTACATTGACTAAAAATACAACATTTTCTTGGCCAAGACTTTCTCTGGTTTGCTAACAACATCCTCTTTTCTACCAGTTTTCCAGATTCCTTTGTAAACATTCAAAAAGTTACCTTTTAAATAAAGTAATACACATAGGAACAGCAAAAGTGTATTTGTTCCTTTGATCTTTACTAAAATAGTTGATTTGGTTTTATTCAGACTGTCAGTCTTTTAGCTCAAAACAAACCTTAAAAACTTCAACACAACCAACACATACCTTCTTATTTACAAAATCATTACAACTTCTGTTCAAAATTAGTCATGTTTCTGAGAATCTGCTCATATTTAGAAAGTAAGGATTTTACTGCAACTACTAACTACCTAGGACTGCTTCCTTTTCCCCTCTGCTGTGCATTACAGTTCCTGAGCTCTAAAATCACAGGTTCTACTCCCTAAATGTGACCAACAGCAGCCTCACAAGAGTGAGTGGTATGTAGCAAAAATGAACATTACAGCCTTTAATAATCCTGAGACTGTTGGGGAAAAAAAACGAAAACAACTACAGATACCTACAAGAAGGTAAATAAGCTGCATTACTGATGAATCACTTTTTCATAATGGTCACAGACCATAGAAAATCGTCAGCACTGGTTGAGGACTCAGTGTACATCCATCAATTGACTTCTTTATGAGGAATCAAAATACGTAATTCTCTCCAATCTGCAATAACCTTGTACTATTTGACTTTCTGTACTCATAAATCTCTCCCTCCCCAGAGGTGGTAGGTATTTCAGGATAACACCCACTATCAATTTGGAAGTCTTTCCAAAGTTTGCTTTTCCTCATTTAAATGGCAGATGAGAGGGACTAGGTCATGCTCCCAACCTTACCAGGGAGTTTCCATAGCAGTTTGTTTTCCAACAAGTTTTCACTTTTTTTTTTTTTTTTTTTTAAGTACACTAGAACTTACAATCTTCAATCAACAAAATCATCACAGAAATCAATAAAGGCATTCAAATTTTTAATTATGCTTAACCCAAAGCATAACTGTCGAGGATAGCTATTCTAATGAAAAGAAGTAAAATTTATAGTGATATACTTTTGCCAACACAGAAGAGTCATCAAAACTATGGCAGAACAGTTTTTGATGCTGGCATTTCTGCCAGCAAACTATCAGAAAAAAAATGCTATCCATCTCCACTTGCTGGCCTCAAAACATTATTTTTTCTCCTCATTACACCTCAGTATAGGATCGCTTTTTCAATTAAATTACCTGTCCCAGTGATCTCCAGTCTAGGCTGGCACTTCCAATGTACACGTGCTGCTTATCAACAATCCAGAAAGATGACTGAAGCCGCCCTTCATTATATGCTGACATGTTCATATACAACACTTCGGCACCTAGAGATTTAAGGATAAAATAATAAATAGCATTGTTTAAAATAATGTAATTTACATTATTAAAAAAAAAAAAACAACCAAAAAAACACAACTTCACATTTCAGGGCCTCGGCTTCCAAAAGTAGTGAGGAATGTAATTAAACATACCATTGACGTTTAAAATCAATAATAGTGTTAATGTCCCACTATTTAAGACCTTAATTAACATATATTCCCCAAAAGCAGGTTTAGGGAACTTTCCCATGCATTATACTGTTTACTTAATTTTCTTTCATTTTAGAATGAAATAATTGCTATTGTTTTCAGCAACGTATGTTCCCCAAAGCAGTTTATTTTTCAAGGTCTATTCTGTAACTCAAAGCTGCTACATATAGTGACGACCTTTAAAATACGAACCCAATTACAACCCTTTCCTGAAAAGCAGACTCTGCTCCTTTGCCCTGTGCAATGGCTCGAGCAGGTAGCCTCGGGCGGGCTGTCGCATGGAACAGACCCCAACAAGAGGAACGTGGAGGGAGAATTAAGGAGTGAGGAAGTAAGCAAAGGGCAAACGTATGCTGAAACTGCTCTTAATCCTGCTAATGTGTGACATTCAACCTACCACTTTGAATTGCACAGTTTTAATAAGGATTACAGGGCACTGAAATCAAAGGAATTACTTGTCGGGGAAAAGCACATCATCACATCAGAAGGAATGTCTGAATTGGCCCCATCAGTATGTTTGCAGGACTAAATCCAGAATATCCGTAATATTCGGTGAGTTTAGGAGATGTCTCACATCATTATTGTTCTTTCAGTGCTCTAGTGTTTGCAAGATTAGGTGATTAATCTGAATTAATCACTGTTGAAGGTAATTTAAAATAACACACTCATCTTCACATTTTAGTCATGACAGAAACTGGGGAAGAGAAGTGACAGTAAACAGCAGCCTGAAGGGCAGTAACGGCACCAGCCATCTCCCATTAAACATTCATGGGATCTTCAGTACCGTGAATTCCAGCAATGGTTGGATGAAAGGCACAACTTCAAAAGAATTCCAGGATGCCTACAGAACTGAAATATCAATTCTGTTAATTTAACTTCCTGTTTCTGACCTTCTAAGAAACATTTGACTTGCAGTTTTAAGCAACAGTTACCAGTGCTAAGTATTTCTTTTTTATTATGAAAACTGTAATTCTCACTTGAACAAATTCAAGAAAAGAATTAAAATCAGGTAAGGTGCCACTTTTCATGAGGCACCAAACATGCAACATAGGATTTTGTGCAAGTTACAGAATTTTGTTCATTGTACAATTACATTTGCTGCAACGCAGTTACCTTTTCAATTTTTTCTAGCTATCACTCATCCACATTCATCTACACTTAGAAACAAAGGTGTTTTCCTGTTTTCCTTGGAACATGTTGCTGCTGACTTTCAATCCATGCATTAATGAGCAGAACTGTTTTAATTAATGAGATAATGTGTGTGAAATGGAAAAGAAATAAGAAAACACTGTAGCAGGTGTTAAAAGGTTTAAATTGTTTTCTGATGAATAAACAAAAAAAGCAACTTCTACTAGCTAAGGAAAACAATTCTGTAAGGCACTAAACTTCTAGCTGCTTATCTGAAAACTGTGTTTAAAATCAAGTTTAACATAGCAGTTTGCCTTGATCACATTTTCTTTTCATACTTCTAATTTGCAACATTAAACAGCAGTATGAATTTAACACCCACAACACACCTACATCAAACAGGTTATAAATGAAATTTTAGGATTTTTTGTATGGGAAAGGTAAAACAGTTGGAAGCAAAGAGGTGCCTTCTCATAACTGAGAGCCTAAAATAAACACAGTTTAAAAACATTTTTGAAATATCCAACACGGAACAAAAATGCTGATTGCTAAAGTTACAACTGGAAACTAACTAGTAATACTAATGTTAAAAATAGCAGACATCATCAGTAACCGGACACAAAATTCAAAGGTTGTAACAACACACCAGGATTTGTGGGTGTGGGCAGTTTAGACATGGGTGCAAGCAGTGGTCTGGGACTATCACGCTAAAATATAATCTGGGCTTCAATTACCAAAATAGTGAATATAGCAGTGCAGGAGATACTGCTATCACACATATCATTAAAATAAAAACCTGGAACCCAATTTCTTTTACTTCTGGAAATAGCCAACTCATAAGGCTGAGGGAATAGTATCTCAAAGTTAATTAAAAAAAAAGTCATGTGTTGCAAGCAGCAGCTGCCGTGCAGGCTCTTAATGAGCCCTTAACTTTTGATGAAAGGAAACATGCATCAGTATTGATAATTGCCTCTGTTCTAGAAGCCCTTGAGATATTTTGTTAAAATAGGCTTATCGGGCCTTCAACACAATCCATCATCTCTAGCGTGGACCAGGTCCCATGAGGAAATTAAATTGGACTGATCAATATGTGAAGCCCTAACAGAACTCTTTATCATGCTACAGTCTCAATTACACAAAGCTGTGGGTTTGCTGAGTTCAACCAGAAGGCACAATTTGTAGGCTTGATTGCTAATATAGATGCCAGACTCTTAAAAAATAAATCTAACAATTTTGTTTCACTGAAGATTAAACTGCTAGTTTCTTAGAGAAAACTAGCACTGCCACCTAAAACTCAAGTGGATTTGCCTGTTCCATAAAATTGTGCATTCCAAAGGTTGGGCCAGATTGCCCTCTTTCTGCAGAAAAAAAAGAGACCGCTCTAGGGATCAAAGCATGCTTTAAGTAACAGACATTTCTCTTTTTCTTCTAGGTGGGGAGGTTTTACACTCCTTGTAAGGGACATGACTGATGCAGTCTAGGATGCACAGAGGGGACCCTGCCCTTGAGAGCATGGACCTTCTCCATGTGATGGGAACACAGCCCCTGGGAGGTGCCAGGCTGCCACTCAGCTTCTTGGTCTGCCTCATAATGGAGGAAGAATACAGAAGACAATAGTAGCATTGCAAAAAGACTGACTTTTCATCCATTTCCAAAAGAAATCCAATTCCCAAAGTAATCCCAAAGAAGTAGGATGGCACAAGCAAGTGCCATTTACCATTTTTAGCCTTGCAACATCCAGTTCAGTCTAGCTGCCTGCTCTCAGGTACTCCGCTAACAATGTGATGAGGGCCACAGGGCAAGCTTGACTTCAGGAACTGGAGCTTAAGGCTTAGGACCTTTTCTACATATTTCAGTCAAACCACTCTAAGCAGTCAGCACAAGACTTCAGTCAAGAGCTCATCACATATATGGTCTATCATGAAAAACTGTATGTCATAGAGATGCGCATCTTGGCACACTTGTGTTGTAGCATATGATAGCTTTAGATTTTACTGCTGCTCAAGCAAGGTCACCAGCCAGCTACACAAACTGAGAGACTCTTCTTCATGGGAGATTGAAGGAGGCCAGGCCTCACAGGGCTCCTGCTTGGCCTCCAGATCCAGATTTATGGATCAATCTGGAGAAGGTGCACCAGGAGGCTTTGGATCCAATGCCTGAGAGCAGTCAAGGATATTACCAGGTTGTCCTGGTACAGAAGCAACATCACTGAGCCAGATCACCTCCCTGGGGGATATAATAAATAATTTTTGTAAAGAAGACCCAGAAAGAGCAACTGTTTAGGCTGCTATTATCACAGCTGCCTTGAAAGCAAACATGCGCATTCTGCCTGCAACAGTTTTCAACAGCGCCAGTTACAGGCTAAACTCACTCTGGAGTTAGCAAACATAACGCCCAAGAAACAGAAGCTGCATTTGCTTGTACTACGGCTAAAATTGGCCTTCTGTCTTCATAACTTTCTTACTTTCACTATAGTGTTTTTAAAACCAGAGAGAAAGACAAATAGGAAAGGGGAAGGATTTAAGGATTGAGAGCAGAGCCAGACAGAGGTATCTGGAAAGTTGCAGCAACAGCGATGGGTGATTCACAACAGGCAGAGCAAGGATGAGAAAAGCACCAAGAGCCCTGACCCCATTAGCCCTGACAGCAGGAAACAGTGCTGCAGCAGGGAAGAGGATGGAGAGAAATGGAGATACATGATCTGATGGCACGTGCTGGGACTGTGCATCGCGCAGAGCTCTGGGAGAAAGGGTTGTGGGGTCAGGCTGAGCTCTGCTACCCCCTGCTAGGAATGGGAGAGTTGTAAAGGTGGAGAAGATGCACAGGGGCTTTTGAATGCCTCTCCTTCCCTATTTTGGGAAAACAGAGGTTGTCACATGCAGGCTACAGAGGCACAGCAGCCGATGGCAGGTGGAGCACACTGAGGCAGGGGGAGCAACGCAGAGCTGTGGGTAGGCAGGGGGAGTGGGGAGGTTGTAGAGGGATCTCAAAGGAGAAGGGACAGCGGGATATAAAGAAGTGCTAGTATATGAAATGAGTTTGGCCAGTGAAAGCAACACTGCTTACAGCTCTCTCGTAGGTTTGCACTTTGAGCCTGACAAATGCTCCTGCACCACATCCAATCCAAGCTGGCTGCAGTAGGAACAGCGGCCCTCCTCTGCGTACCTCATTCTTGCCATCCCTTCACTCTCCTCAGTACCACATGCCTTTGCTCCCAGCACTGGTTTTTTCCCCTCACCTAATTCTGTGTATTCCCAAGCAAATACTCCAAGTAATGAGAGCTTTAAAAAGGAGTCTGAGAATGTGAGCTGTGGCCTCTCTGTTTCACCCCACTGCTGACAGTCACTTGGCATACAATGATACATGTTGTGATCTATACCTTTTGGAGGGTAGCCTCAAGCCAGAGTCCAGACCAGACTTAACTAGTCCATCCCATGAACAGCCCACACGACACCTTGCATGGCCTCTCTGGGAGGCTACCATATATGTGGGAGGCAGCACACGTGGCACATGCCATCGTGCCATGGACCTGCTGCATTACTTCAGCTAAACTGAGTTTTCAGATCAGTATAGATGCAGTTAATCATCATGTGCTAGCTCAGAAAGATCAACAAAAGAGCCTTTATTGCCTCCTAGCTCCCAAACTTATTTTTTAAAATACAATTTGC